TTGAATGATTAACTAACCTACTGCCTGTCGGCTCGTGTTCCCAGAGCATTTTTCGTTCTCACAAACTGAGAACGAGAGCTGTGCCCTTGTCAGCTATCCGAGAGCGAATAATTCAATTGTTCTGTATAAATCTAGTAGTTGTTCAAAACTCTTTCTAAATCCTCTTAAAAAACACTTCGAAAACGCCATGAAGCGGCCGTCATTATGTTAACAACCGGAACATTGCCACGCTACTCACTATCTATCACAGAATAGATAGTGAGTAGCGTAGCCAATCAGAGAACGGCTTTCGCTATAGAACGCTGGTAGATTTATACTTAAACTGGATAGAAACTCTTAAATGAACGTAAATGTTTTATCATTTGTTTGTCTGTCCAGTGTCTCCAACGTTCACCGAGGTTCCCGATAGAGTTGTGAAAGTAACAGCAAATTCTGTAGCTTCTATTCCCTGCCAAGCATTTGGTTTTCCACCACCGAAAGTTGTCTGGTCAAGAGGACTTGTGCCGTTACCGCAAGGTCGAACCATTGTTGCCAATGGCACACTGAATATCTCCAAATTTAGTCCTGAGGACGTCGGTCCTTATCAGTGTAAAGCCACCAACAAGCTTGGGTCTGTTAGCGCATTGACAACCTTGCGTTATGTTGCAGAAGGTGAGAACTAGTACTTTTTGTTGTTCTTGTTGTTTGGCTTTATTTGGCTTTACTGTTTCAATAATGGACACGCATTACACTGTAATCGAAGCAGATCTTCAGATAATGCGAAGGCAACAAGCAGGCAGCTGTCTTTTGGAGTTTAACTGTCCCTACATTTTCAACTTACACTGTTCGACTCATTATCAAACTTAATGAATTGTTAATGAAAATTATGAAACGATGATATTATGACGAAATCCGATAGGAAATCGAGCAACTTCAACTTTTACTGGACAAAAACCTGTACCAGAATAATTTAAGTATATTGCAGTCCTTTTTTGCATTTTCTAAAAGCTAAAGATACAAATAGTTGCCTGAAATAACACCAAAAATAATTTCCCATGGGAAGTCGACGAAATAAATTTCAAAGTTCAGAGAAATTGTGCAAAAGGAAGTAGCATTTCATCATCAGTTTCATTTCACCAGTACTTTCAAGTGTTTCATATGAACTGCAACGTTTGTTTTCGACAGTTCGCGTTGTTAGAAACGATTTCTTTTGAGAAGATATTTAACACAGTCGCACAGACGTTTGCAATACAATGTAAATTATGTTGGTACTAAGTTTTTGTTTACTAGTTACTCGAACTTCTGGTGGATTCCCTCTTTAAATATGTGTTGCTCTGAGTATCGAATAACTGTTGACAGTAACTATTAACATAGTTAATATAGGGGACTGGTTATGAAGCCCGGCAAATATCAAAGGAGCAAACAAAGATGCCAAGATTTATGTTGGATGGTCCACGGCCGGGCACAATCTTTTGTTTTGCGCTCATACACTATGCATGAATTACGTAACCTAAACGTTTCTATTGGTTAGCTCCTCAGTACGGAGTAAACAGCTATTGTGTTTTGTACACGGTCAAGGCCAAAGAAGCGAACAAAAACATACAGCAAAGAACTTTGTCGGGTTTCACAACCATTCCCCTTCATTAACTATGCTATTAGTTGGTCTCGTGATTCGCTGCAGTTGCTCGGGCACTCGTTCATACGTTACCGTGCAATAACTACTAAATCTCTTGTTGGCTCTAGAGAATTTTGTCAAGTCATATACATAAATTATTTTTTTAAGACTTCAGGATAAATTCGGTTATAATAACCGACAATGCATCTTATAAAACTCGTCTTCGTCATTTCCTGAGTCCTGCTGTTGGAAGCAGAACTCGTTGGGTGCTGTGTTACCGCGCCTCCACTCATGGTTGGGCCTCCAGAACCTTTCACAGCAGGTGTGATGGGAAACGTGACACGATTACCATCATTAAAAATGGACAGTACGTGTTTGGAGGATACACCGATATACCTTGGGGTAAATGGAACATCTCATACTAATTTTCTCAAGTTTGTTTTTAATAAGTACTAGGACGCGGAAGTAAAGGCAAAGCTGCTTCCTTAACCGGCAGCCAATCCGTAAGAGGAAACATATATTTTGCCACGTACGCTCAATAATAAGATCACCGTAATAAGGGTAGATCTAGATCGTGTCAAAGGTGAAATTATGTTTTACATTAGGACGCAAATCACCCTATTTGACTGAATTTTTATGTTATTAAAGACATGTTTTTACAACTTCCCACGAGAATAGTACTGCCCATCGTGTGCGAAAAAGCAAGAGTAAATAAATACTCTTTTACAGGTTGTTTATCTACCTTTTCTGTCATGTATTATAATTCCTAGGCTTGTACACATCATTGATTGTAGTTTGATCTTTGTTAATTGTGATATACTGCGTTCTTTTATCGTGGGAATGATGTAATGACACTCAGTGCATATTTTTCGTAACGTATAGTAATACGTGTATTATGATTTCATTGAAAAAAAAATTCAAGCAAGATCGCAAAGTATTTCACAAAAATAAAGACAAAAATTCGAATCAATGGTTATCACGCTTTTGATACTTTTCCGAAAAATCATCAGGAGTGTCAATTGTTTGGTCACGCGACTTGGGACCCTAAGCCACTACCCCTCCCCCCTCCTTCTCCTTACCCCTCAGTCCTCACCTTCCGTTCATGCTGGCAAATGAGGTTAAATAGGGTCAGGCAAGTTCTTTTTACCTATGTAGTTGTCTGATGCTAATTATTCTGTAGTTATTCTCCTTTTTTTCCTTATTTACCAACTAGAATATAGAGCTCCACCGATATAACATTATTGTTATCATTGTAATTATTATTATTTGTTATCATTCAGGGTCCAGTGATAGTCCTGGTTACTCTTCCAATGCGTTCATATTTTCACTCCGAAACAAAGAAGATCATGCATTTAAGAGCATGGTGAAAGATCCATCAAAAGCAATTTACGGACGCACAAATCTAGGTCCAACATTTGGTTATGGGTGGGACATCTGTATTCAGGACAATGCCAACAGCAACACTGAGTCCTACGCAAACTTTGGCGTCTCCTACTCTGTTCCAAGTGGAGTACAAGACAGGAAAACAATCCTGGCTGGGACTTACAAATTCACACCTGATGAGGTGGAGGTGTTTTACCTCGGCTGAATCGCTTTTAATAATGGTTTGGAACATTTTCATTTAACTAGTGGACATGTTAATTACATGTAAGTACGCCATTTTATTTTTAAGTTTCGCCTCATAATTTTCTTTCTACTTATGTAGTGGATATATCACTTGATTACAAGAACACGTGCGTTTCAACATTCGCTAAGCAATCGGCCATGACTGAATGTAAGCAAAATATTTATATATCATAAGAGCACATTGGAATTTTCGGAGTCAGTTCTGCTTAAAAAAAAAGTTTCAATTTTACATGTCAAAGGATTTAAATATAAAAAAAAGTAAATTGCCATGTCACGAAGATAGAGAGGGCATAGCTACAACAACAACAAAAAAAATATTAGATCACTAATGTGACGCGATTTTAATAAGACGCGAAGTGACCGTACAATTGGTACAAAATAAGCGTTCGTGTCTTATTTTAGGCACAAACTTGAATAAGACGCGTCTTGTTTTCTCCCGTATAATTCACCCTAAACTCAAATCGCTTTGCCAAAAAATTTCGACTGCTGGGATGTAAAACTATTACCTTGTTTGAATTGTTTCGTTTTTACCTTAGTTAAAACTGTAACGTTTAGCTACGACGCTGTTTTGTTTTTGTTGTTCCTTTTTCTGGTTTCTGTGTATGTTTTATGG